AAAGTATTAAGAAAAAATTTTAATGGAAAACAAAGTCTTAGATGCTTTTAATATCAAATTCTTCTACTGTCCCTTATTCATTACACAGTTTATATAGCCTAATACCTAATACATTTTATTTTTAGAACTAAACAGAGTAATAGAGGCATTTCTTCCTTTGTACAATTTCAACATACAAAAATTTCATTTACTACAGTTTAGTTAAATAACACCAGTCCCCCAATAAGACAGCTCAAATTTCAGTTGCCACTTTATATTAAATGTGAGTAACTGCACAAAGTTACAAACTTTTCTGTCAGGTCTTTATTCCACAAATCACTATGCAAATAAAGAGCACAGCATGATCAGTAACCAATCATATCATTTCTTCAAAATCTATTAGTCAACTATTCACAGACAGCAAAGCATGTGACATCCTTCTCCCCCAGGGATAAAACCACATGACATTTTACAAAAATGAATAACTGCAAGAGGATAAAAGTGTACTACAGAGAAAAAGCAAAAAAATAAAATTAAATAATAAAAAATAATTGCATTAAAAAAGGAAAAGTGATACTGATGGAAGTGCAAATATAATTTAATCCAAATGAGTTTATAGAAGAAGAAATAGCTGACTATGATTATAATGATACTGCCATTGTTGAGGACTCTAAATATGCAACCAGAAGAACTTAAGGTGAATTACTGCCATAAATGAGAAAAGTGGTACTGACAAAAAGAAGGAAGATGCTCCAGAGGAAGTGAAATACTGACAAAAATTTTGTATTACAGAACTCTCAGTATTTCACAACGTTGAAAGCCCAAAAGATAAATTGTTGGGCGCTGATAAAGGTTTGAGAGAGTATGAAGACACTCCAAAACACAGAAAAGATATTCACTCCATATCTTAAGTTATATGACAAGAAGTCAATCATTATTCAAACTACTCTTTCTGTTACAACAGAATTATTGACATATAATTAATCTATTATAAAAGCACCTTTGTAAAGTATACAATTAATTGTATTTCAGTATATTCACACGGCTGTGCAAATACCATCATCTAATTTTAGAACATTTTCATCACTTCGAAATGAAACTTGGTATCTATTAGCAGTCAGTTCTCATTTCTGCCTCACTCCCAGCCCCTGGCACTTTCTGTTGCTATGAATTTGCTTATTCTAGATTTCATGTAAGAACCATACAATATTTGTTTCTTTGTGCATGGCTTGTTTTGCTTAAAATAATGTTTTTAAGGCTCATTCATTTTATAAAACACATCAATATTTCATTACTACTATGGCTGATTAGGACTCTGGTAGCGTAGTGCCTAAGGCACTCGACTGCTAACCAGAAGGCTGGCAGTTCAAAAACCCACCAGCCACTCCTTGGAAGGAAGGTTGGGCAATCTACTTCCGTAGTGATACTACCTCGGAAACCCAAGGAGGGGTCGGTATGAGTTGGGTACAACTCAACGGCACATAACAACAACAACATGGCTGATTACTATTCCACATATGGAATATTACCACATTTTGTTTATTCATTCATCAGTTGATTAACATTTTGGGTTGCTTCCACTTTTTAGCTATTATGAATAATGCTGCTATGAACATTTAAGTATAAATTTTTTTGTGGATGCATGTTTTCATTTTTCTCAAAAACCTAGGAGTGGAATTGCTGGGTCTTAGATAACTCTGAGTCCCTGGGTGGAGCAAATGGGTAAGTGCTTGACTATTAGCCATAAGGTTGGTGTTTCAGATGCATCCAGAGGCATCCTGCACCTTAGTCAGGCCTGATGATCTGCTTCCAAAAGGTCACAGTCTTGAAAACCCTAAGGAGCAGTTCTGCTCTGAACACATGGGACTACAATGAGTCAGAACTGAGTTGAAGGCGACCAACAAACAACATGGTAACTGTATGTTTAATTTTCTGATGAACTGCCAAGAGTTTTCTAAAGCATCAGTACCATTTTACAATCCTATAAGCAATGCATGAGGGTTCCAATTTCTCCACTGCCTCACTGACACTTGTTGTAACAACGAATGCAATGCACTGCCGTTGAGTCAGATCTGACTCATAGCGAGCCCTCCTTGAGTTTCCAAGGCAGTATCACTATGGAAGTAGATTGCCCACCCTTCCTTCTGAGGAGTGGCTGGTGGGTTTGAACCACCAGCCTTCTGGTTAGCAGTCAAATGCCATAGGCACCATGCCACCAGAACTCCCATATTTGTTATAGTCTAAAATAAATATTTTTATTTTAGTCAGCAGAGTAAAAGTATTATGTCATTGTGGTTTTGATCTGCATTTTCCTAATGACTAATGCTGCTGGTCATCTTTTCGTGTACTTATTTGCTATTTGCTTTCTGTGAAGAAATGTGTATTCAAATCTTTTGTGCATTTTTAAATTTGGTTATTTGCCTTTTTACCGTTGACCTGTCAGAGTTCTTTGTATAATCTGAATACAAGTAAATTATAGCATACTAAAGGAACACAGTGCCAGTGTTACTTTTTTTTAATTTTCCTATATATGTATAATTGACATGAGTAATATTTTGACAAAATTTTTAAGACACAGAGCAAATGTTATTTTTCTCACTATTAACATCATCAAGATCACTGCACAGTTTGTTTGCCTAGTATTTCTTCTTATCCCATACTATCCTTTCAAACAAGAAATATATGTAATATGAAATACATGTGTGTTTGAGTTTAAATGAATACACACACACACACACACACTATATATATATAT